AGATCAGTCTGTGAAATGTGAGGTGGTGTTTCCAGTTGTTGAGCTGGCGCCCCATTTCTAAGCCCAGTGGCGCTTGAGGTGATCGGCCACGCTTTGGACGCACTCAGAGGGGCGTGCAGAATTGCCTTGTGCCATCTGCGTCGGATTGTTTGGGCAGCTGCTTCGCCACACTCGTAACCAAACTCAGCCGGCAAACAGTGTCGAGCAAGACAGGATGCAGAAAGCTGGCAAATTTAAATCTCGGGGGGTGGGGTGTTCGCAGTGCCCATCTGCTTCATTATGGATCGACTTAAATACCTCACAGGTGCCTCTCTAGGTTAGAACAAAGCTCTTTACCCAGTTTGCAGCAGCCAGATGTCCTAAGCAGGACGGGAAAAGGACGGTGAGCCGCTGCTCTTCCTCCCCAGCAGTTGGCATTCAGGATAGATAGGATTTGTGGAGGGATATGCTTGCTAGCCTCCAGGTGGGATCTAGAGAACTTCCACTTTTACAACTGATCTCCAGCTGACAGAGATCAGCTCCCCTGGAAAAAACGGCTGCTTTGAAGGGTGGACTCTATGGCGTTGTACCATGCTGAGGCCCCTCCCCTCCCCTAACCCCGCCCCCTCCCGGATCCATCCCCAAAGTCTCCAAGTATTTTCCAACCCAGACCTGGCAACCCTAGATTTCATTTATTATTGACAATATGCTAGAAAGTTTGTCCTCTGAAGCCTCCTTTTCACCCGCTAGATTCGAGACCAGCAAGAATTTGGGGCTTTACACTTTCAAGACCCAGAGCTCCCTTTGTGAGATACCAGAGGTTTGGCTCTCAAAAGCCCATACCCTAAAAATCTCATTGGGCTCTAAGCGGTGTTCCCTCTAAGCTGAGTTAGTGTGAGCTAGCTCACAGTTTTTAGCCTCCAGCTCACATATTTTTGTCCTAGCTCAGGAAGAATGGCTCCAGAGCAAGCTAATTTATGCATTAGCCAAATCGCTCGCTCACAACTTTCATTCCAGTAGCTCACAAAGTAGAATTTTTGCTCACAAGACTCCACAGCTTAGAGGGAACATTGGCTCTAAGGTGCTACTGGACTCGAACCGAGCTCTCCTATTGCAGATGAACGTGGCCACTAGGCTTGCCAGCCTGCAGGGTGGCACCAGGAGTTCTCCCACGGTTACAGCTGATCTCCAGACTATAGAGGTCATTTCCTCTGGAGAAAATGGCTGCTTTGGAGGGTGGACTCTCTATGGCATCATACCCCACTGAGGTCCCTCCCCTCCTCTCCCCAAGCCCCGCCCCCTCAGGCTCCACATTCAGAATCTCCAGGTATTTCCCAACCTGGAGCTGGTAGAATCTCCAGCAGTTTCACAAACACACAGGCCAAAGAAAGAGGTAGCACTTGTCCTGTCCAAGGCAAATGCACAGTGTCAGAGGAAAATGGCTGCCCAAGTACAGGACAGCCTGGGAGTTCCAGCCCGTTTATGTAGTGGTGAAGTGCACGGACTCTAATCTGGGAGAACCGGGATTTGATTCCCCACTCCTCCACTTGCACCTGCTGGATGACCTTGGGCAAGCCATAGTCCTGTCAGTGCTGTTACTGAAAAAAGAGGAGTTTCTGTCAGAGCTCTCTCAGCCCCACCTACCTCACAGGGTGTCTGTTGTGGGGAGGGGAAAGGAAAGGAGTTTGTAAGCTGCTCTGAGACTCCTGTGGGTAGTGAAGGTCGGGGTATAAATCCATCCTCTTCTTCTTCTTCTCTTCCCCTTTGTCACAGAGGCAGGGCCATAGAGCAGAAACAGATATAGGCAAAATCCTGCTCAGATTTGGTATCAACTGATCTAAGGGGGGGAATTTACAACATGACTATCTTGTATATTTACGAGATGTATAAACTGTGCTGTATCTGTAGTCAGGCATTAAATATTTGAAGTCTGGCATTCAATTTTGTTGGGTGTTGCTAAGACACAAGAACAGATCTTCGCATAGTTTGGCGTTGGGTAACAATGATAAGGTTCTGGCGAGAAATACGGGGTTTAATTAAGGCCGTAACAGGATACGATCTGAAAGTTTTCTCTGGGAACCTGTCAAGGACGGGAGAGAGAAAACAGATGAGGAAGTTGTTGCAAACTTAACATCTGCCCAAATCTGTATCTCACGGGGAGCGGTGGAACAATGTTAATTTAACAAAATGGCTCAAGTAAAATATGGATCACTGCACAATTGGCAAGGTTAACGTATTCCAGAAGGATGGGTTGTAAATCCTCAAACCAATATTGAGAAATGGATCCTTTCTGTCAAGTACGGGTACAATAAATTTCAGGAGAATGCACACCTTATGTGTTTTCAGTGTTCTCGATAAATTAGTCAATATATTGCATGTTACTTAGGGTTGCCAAGTCCATCTTCCACCCCCTGCGGGGGACTTTGGGGGCATCCCTGGAGGGGGCGGGGCATCCCCGACATGATGATGTCACGTTGGGGACATCTGCCGCCCCCCACCCCCCTCCCGTGCGCCAGATCTCCAGAAACGGCAGTTCCCTGCACTTAAAGGAGCCGGCGTTTCCCTTTTAAATGCAGGAGCCGGCGTTTCCACTTTAAGAGCAGCCGCGTTTCCCTTTTAAGAGCACGAAGCTGGCATTTCCCTGCAAGCTTGCGGAGATCAGGCTTGGGAGGAAACACGGGTTTCACACACTTAAAGGGAGAGAGATGGGTGGCTGTGGGTGTTGGGGGTGGGGCTTCCCCCGCTGGCCATCTGGCCGGCGGTGGGTAGACCCCCCCAAAAAACGGGGGACCCCTAGCAAACTGGGCGGGGGGTTGGCAACCCTAATGTTACTGCATTGCCAGTTAATTTAAAAATAACAATAAAGTAACACCAACAACAGATAAAGAGGGGGCAGAGTATTTAGGGTTCCCAACCTCCAGGTGGCACCTAGAGTTGTCCTCCTATTACAATTGATCTCCAGGCAACAGAGATCAGTTCACCTGGAGAACATGGCCACTTTGGAAGTTAAACTTTATGGCAGGGGTGTCAAACATGTGGACCGGGGGCCAGATCAAGCCCCCGGAGGGCTTCTATGAGGCCCGCACTGGAACTGGCCATCTCCTGCTTCCAGTTCTGTTGCTGCTGCCGCATCATAGCTTACTTCACCAGACTCTCTCAATTGCTCAGCCATTTCATGTTTTCCCCTGGGTCCTAGACTCAGAACTCTGAGCATGAGATTTCTGTGGCGAATGTCAATAAATCAGAAGTAGGTTTGCAGCTTCCAGATACACACCTGAACAGCATACTCAAGATTGCTACAGCACAGACATTTTGATGCAATCATTCAGAGCAAGAGGTGTCAGCTATCAGACACTGTTAAATGAACAAAATATTGCAAGAGTGCTAATGTTTTGAGCATGTTTTTATTTTAAGTAGAATAACCCCTTTGTGTCTGTGTCCTTTATAAAGTTTATATCTCCGCTACCTGGCGTTACATTTTATGACACACATGGCCTGGCCCAACAAGGTCTCACTTATGTCCGATCCGGCCCTCACAACAAATGAGTTCGACACCCCTGCTTTATGGGATTATGTCTTGAGCTGGCAACACTAGTGAGGATAGAAAGCCCACTTAAAAAAATATATCTGTTTCGGGGAGGGGAGTTGTGTGAACATTGCTCTCAGCATAAACACTATCCTCAGTGCAAGAACTGCTAACTGAGAGCTGAGCACTTCGAAAGGTCTCAATTCCCACACAGGATAAATAACACATTGTGGGTAATACAAGAACAGCACGCAGTCTCAGATCACTGGTTCAGATCTCAACTGTGTCTTCCACTTGGCGAGCCACACTCTCTAGGCCTCAGACCCCCACCACAAGTGCGTGCGTGTGTGTGTGTAAAGTGCTGTTGAGTCACAGCCAATTTAGGGGGACTCTAGCAGGGGTCTTTCAAGGAAAGTAAGGAGGCAGAGGTGCCTGGCCGTTGCCTTCCTCTGCAGAGCCTTCCTTCGAGGTCTCTCTTTCTAGTACTGACACTGCTTAGCTTCCAAGAACTGACGAGAGCAAGCTATACCATGCTGCCTTCCCCAGCATCCCCAATTACATAGGGACATTCAAACTGGCTTACCTTCAAGGATTGTGGTATGAATTCTGGAGAGAAGAAATCCTGGGCCAGCTTACACACTCTGAAGTCTAGTATATAAATGCAAAGGATTATGTTAACAACAAAACAAAGACCCTTTCCCAACTGCCTTTGTATTCCATTTTAGTAACTAATCGCTAATGGATTTTTTCCTGTCCTGTTTTAGTAACCGGCTGTTAGCAGAACTTACGTGTTCATAGAAACCTGCTAGTGTTGGGTTAGCAAAGTGTGGTTGAGCTGCTTTTGAGGGAAACTGCTCCCCCCCCCCCGTTTTCTACCCCTTTATTGTGCTTCTGAATTGTTGTGGTGTGCTGTTTAAAATATCCATAGCACTTCCTACAATGCCACATTTCCCCCACCCCTTTTCACCACCTGATCTTTGTCTGACTTTTTTTTTATGTTCTAAGGTGAGCCCTGTAGCAGCACCATTGAAATGCATTGACTCAGTGGAGTCAATGCATCTCAATTGGGTCGCTATAGCACTTCAGTACTACAGCGGTTTAGCGCTATAGCGCTCACCTTCAAATGCTAAAAAAAGGTTTTAAAAGTCTGAGGAAGATCGCACGGTGAAAAAGGGTGGCGGTGAGGAAGCAGCACTGTTTGAAATTACCACAGCACTCCAGAGACGGCTCATCAGTGAAAGGAAATTTGCTGTATGAAACCCTCATCCCTGTATCGTTTTACTCAAAATTGGGCCAACAATGAATAACATCCAGTTCAGAACGGAAACGTGAAAAGGGCCTATGAAGTTATTACCAAAAAAGCCTCTTAATCCTAAATTAATATCATCCTTACCTGAAACGTATTTTTACATTTTTCAAAACCTTTTGGGATATAAACCAACCAAAGTACTGAAATATCAGATCTAATGTTATTTGTGCTTTTCCTGTCTTTCAGAATAGGCCACAATCCAGCAGTGACGTGCGGAGAAGGAGGGAAAGCCTGAATCTACATTTGCTGGATGCTGCAGTTTATGATCCTGGTATGTGCCTGAAATGAAAGAAATGTGCTATATCTTCGATGTGTGAATACATGTGCACTGAAGCATGTGTGCAGGACACTGATACATTTATTTATTAGAATTTGCTTGCTTTCCTGGCATTTTTGAAGTGATTTTTGATAAGTACTTACAGAACAGAGAGTTGTTGTTGTTCAGTCGCACAGTCGAGTCCGACTCTTCACGACCCCATGGACCAGCTCCCGCCAGGCCCTCCTGTCTTCCGCCGTCCTCTGAGGTTTGCTCAATTTCATGTTCGTAAAGGTTTCCCCTGCTTGAAACCTAGTCGAATCCGACTCTAGGAGGCGGTGCTCATCTCTGTTTTTAAGCTGAAGAGCGTGGTCATGTGGCTGGCATGACTAAATGCTGAGGCACATGGGACACTGTTACCTTCCCACCGAAGCAGTACCTATTTATCTACTTGCAATTTCTTGCTTTCGAACTTCTGGGTTGGCAGGAGCTGGGGCCAGAGACGGGAGCTCACTCCGTCACGCAGCACTCGGGTCTCGAACTGCCGAGCTACAGACCTTCCAGTCTACAGCTCAGCGTCTTAACCTCTGATTCACCGCGGCCCACTCAAACATGTTAAAGGCCATCTAAAACAGCTACAAAATCAAGGCAACTGCAGTTTTAAAAATGGTGTTCTTATAGAAACTAGGCAAATGACACGTGCTCTAAATTAGACTGAGGGAGCAAAGGGTTGGAACACTTTCCCTATGAAGAAAGGTTAAAGCTCTTGGGGCTCTTTAGCTTGCGGAAAGGATGGCCAAAGGGTGATATGATCGAGGTTTATAAGATCATGCATGGGATAGAGCAGGTCGAGAAAGAGGTACTTTTCTCCCTTTCTCACAATACAAGAACTCCTGGGCACTCCATGAAATTGCTGAGCAGTCGGGTTAGAACAGATAAAAGGAAGTCCTTCTTCACCCAAAGAGTGATTAACACACAGAATTCACTGCCACAGGAGGTGGTGGTAGCTACAAGCATGGATGGCTTCAAGAGGGAATTGGATAAGCATACGGAGCAGAGGTTCATCAGTGTCTATTAGCCACAAGGTATAGGTAGGAACTCTCAGTCTGGGGCAAGTGATGCTCTGTATTCTTGGTGTTTGGGGGGGGGGGTCAACAGTGGGAGGGCTCCTAGTGTCCTGGCCCCACTGGTGGACCTCCTGATGGCATCTGGTATTTTTGGCCACTGTGTGACAGAGTGTTGGACTGGATGGGCCATTGGCCTGATCCAACATTGGCGTCTCTTATGTTCTTACATCTATGTTCTTATGTTAAAGTCAAATGTGTTAAATACATAAAAGGCAACTCTGCAAAAATTAAACAATAAAAGTGTGGTGTGGCACTTAGGATGTCAGACTAGAGCATAGGAGACCCAGGTTTCTCCATCTAGCCGTAAAGCTCGCTGGGTGACCTTGGGCTGGTCACTTTCTCTGCCACTTTAATGTCACGGGGCTGCTGTGAGGATAAAATGGAGCAGGGGAGAAGCACAGGCTCTACTCTGAGACGCTTGGAGGGAAGTGAGATGAAAGTGGATACACAGCTTCACTTAGAAGAGAAGAAGAAGAAGAGATTAGATTTATACCCTGCCCTTCACTCGGAGTCTCAGAGCAGCTTGCAATCTCCTTCCTCTCCCCACAACAGACACCCTGTGAGGTAGGTGGGGCTGAGAGAGCTCTTTCCAGAATTGTCCTTGAGAGAACAGCTCTGACAGAGCCAGAGGTCATTTCGGGGGGGAACGCGGGGGAACACAGTTCCCCCGGGTGAGGCGCAGGGGGGCGGGGCACATGAGGAAGCCCCGCCCCCTGCTTCCGGCCGCCCCGCTTCCAGCCCTCATTCAGCCAGGAGGAGGCAGGAGAAGAGGGAGGGTAAGTTGCTTCCTCCCCGCCTCTCCCCACCCCTGCCTGCCTGGGGCCAGGGAGGGCCTTGGCGGGGCTTCCTCGCACCCCCGCTGGCCTTGCGGGTCCACCGCCAGGCCCCTGATGTCAGGGGGTGTGGCATATGCTAATGAGTTATGCTAATGAGTTCCCCTAGCTCTTTTTCTACGAAATGACCCCTGGACAGAATTATGGCTTGCCCAAGGTCATCTATCAGCTGCAGGTGGAGGAGTAGGGAATCGAACCCGGTTCTCCAGATCAGAGCCTGCCGCTCTTAACCACTGGTCCGCACTGGCTCTCAGATGTGAGAATAACTCGGTCATAAACCAAATCAGGGTGTCCGAGGACGGCTCAGCTCCAAGGCAAGAGGGAAGCAAAGCTCTGCTGGCTGCTAACATGGTGCATCATCTCAGGGATGCAGTCGGGCTTCCCAACAGGCCTAGAGGGAAAGTCTTGTCCCTTGTACGGTTGCCAACCTCCAGGCAGGGCTCGGAGGTCTCCCACTTTTACAACTGATCTCCCGGCTACAGAGATCAGTTCCCCTGGAGAAAAGGGTTGCTTTGGAGGGGGGACTGTATGGCAGGATACGCTGCTGAGGTCCCTCCCCACGCCCTGCCCTCCTCAGGCTTTACCCACAAAATCTCCAGGTATTTCCCAACCCAGACCTGGCAGCCCTACGCCTCAATAAACGTCTTTGAATGAAAGCTCTTGGGAACCGATTGCTGCATGGGGGTCTGACAAGGAGATTGTAAGACGCAGAGAGACTTCTTAGGGTAGAGAAAAAAGGTAAAGGCAAAGGTTCCCTTGCTCGAAAGCCAGTCGAGTCCGACTCTAGGGCTGCGGTGCTCATCTCCGTTTCCAAGCCGGAGAGCCAGCGCTGTCCAAAGATGTTTCCATGGTCATGTGGCCGGCATGACTAAACACCAAAGCGCACGGAACGCTGTTCCCTTCCCACCGAAGTGGTACCTATTTATCTACTTGCAATTTCTTGCTTTCGAACGGCTAGGTTGGCAGGAGCTGGGACCAGAGACGGGAGCTCACTCCGTCATGCGGCAACCCGGGTCTCGAACTGCTGAACTACTGACCTTCCACAGCCTGCAGTTAAGTGTCTTAACCACTTGAGCCACCACAACTCCTAGGGTAGAGAAAAGCAGAATAGAGAAAAGCAGAATATAAAGACCAACTCCTCCTACTAATCCTACTCCTCTACCACCACCTTCATCGTCTTCTTCTTCTTCTTCTTTGGAAACTTTTGCTCTGCACCCTTCTCTCCCCCCCCCCCCATATTATTCATTCATGGTACATTTTTGTCATACCAAAACACTGTCGTGACACTCTAATTCTTCTCTGCCGCGTGGTATATCATCACTATTGCTGTCGCAGAGACTGGGACGGTGGTGATACGATACGCCGCATATCACCTGCTGTGAAAGAAATCTGTCCGTGGGCTCGGCATCCCCCTTTATGCAGCGATGGCAGCCGAACGATCGCTTTTGTCCCTTCATCAAGTCGCTCTGCCAGAGTCTGCCTTTGCAAAAAGCCAAAGTGCAACATCGGCCAAAACTTATTGAAACCTAGTGCTGCGTTTCAGGTCTGCCCCCAGAGACTGTGTGCTGCCGCTGGAAAGAAAACGCTCTTGGAGGCAAGCGCTTAGATCCGCCACCGAAGATTTCTGCAGGCAGAAGGGATTTCCGTCTGTAGAAGATGACTTTGCCTTTCCCCCTCTCCCACTACAGCCCAAGACGCCTCTCTCAATGCTGCTTCTGGGAGAAGGGAACAGCATGGGGGGAGCTGGAAGTCTGAAGCAGAAAGGGAGAATCGGCAATAATCCCATCCGTCTGCAGAAATGCTTTCTGCAACCCAAGCTAAGGTGTCCCTCGAAAATCACACTTTCATAGAATCATAGAATCACGGAGTTGGAAGAGGCCCTTCAGGCCACCTAGTCCAACCCCCTGCTCAATGCAGGATCAGCCTAGAGCATCCCTGTCAAAGGTTTGTCCAGCCCCAGCTTAAAGACTGCCAGTGAGGGGGAGCTCACCACCTCCCTATGCAGCTGGTTCCACTGTTGCACAACTCTTTCTGTCAAAACGTTTTTCCTAAGATCCAGCCGGTACCTTCCCGCCCTTAATTTCAACCCATTCTTGTGAGTCCTATCCTCTGCTGCCCACAGGAACAGCTCCCTGCCCTCCTCTAAGTGACAGCCCTTCAAAGACTTCAAGAGAGCCATCATGTCCCCCCCTCCACGTCCTCTTCTCCAGACTGAACACTCCCAAGTCCCTCAGCCTTTCCTCACAGGGCTTGGTCTCCAGGCCCCCAATCATCCTCGTCGCTCTCCTCTGCACCCGCTCCATTCTGTCCATGTCCTTTTTGAAGTGAGGCCTCCAGAACTGCACCCAATACTCCAGGTGCGGCCTGACCAATGCAGTGTCCAGCGAAACCATGACCTCTTGCAATTTGGATGTTATACTTCCAAGATCGCATTAGCCTTTTTTTGTCACCGCATCACACTGGCTGCTCATATTTCACTTTCAGTCCACTCGTACCCCTGAAGCTTTAGCTTTGAGAAATAGTTAGATGTCATCCAACTTCAGATATTTCTTTCCCCCCAACCTGGTCTATACGGATGATATGAAGAACATCTTTTCAGTGCATCAGACCTAAAGCTCATTCGAGGCGCACAAAACTTTTTTTAAAAAAAAGTTTCAAAACTCCAATTTGTTTTTGTTGTTAGTTATTACACATTTGATACCATTACGATGCCATCTTTGTTTCCACTTCTGTTTGATTCTCAGTAGGAATATGTGTATCGTTTCTTACCCTGACTCCCCCAATTCTGGTGAGGCAAGGTAGCCAGGTCCCCCTGGCCACTGACAAAGGATGGGTTTGTGTTGTTGTTTTTTGACAGATCCAGATTGGGAAACTCCTGAAGATTTGGAAGTGGAACCTGAGGGTGGCAGGCAGTGTTCCCTCTAAGCTGATTTAGTGTGAGCTAGCCCACAGTTTTTTAGCCTCCGGCTCACACATTTTTGTCTTCGCTCAGGAAAGATGGCTCCAGAGCAAACTAATGTATGCAGTTGCCAAATCGCTCGCTCACAACTTTAAT